CCCTGATGTCCCGCGGCTTGCAGCCCAGCTGGTTCCCAGACCGCACGGAAAACCGCCGCCGCGGTGTGCCGACTGCCCCGCGGTGTGCCGACTGCCCGAGGGCCACCCTCGGGTCCCGGGCTCCAGCTGGCGGGCGAGCGAAAGGGGATCGCCGCTGGCCGTGGCTGCGGACCCAGGGCGTCTTCTGCTTCCACTCCTCTAAAGTTAGCGGCCGGGTTCGCTCTAGCCGGGACACCTGGTCTGTCTAGGAAAGACAGATTTCTGCGTGTGACGTTGGGACATTAAAAGAGGTCGGCCAGGAGGGTGGATGGGGAGATGGGAGTCGTGGAAGAAGTTCGTGGGTCCTTTTGGGGTAAGAGAACTGCCTCTTACAAAGGATGGAGGCCAGAAACCCCAGCCCAGTGAACAGCGAAGGTGATGAGGAAGGGGACCAGAGTGTCTTGGGTGGCACCCTGGACAAGATGTTTACTGTTCCAGCACGCGGACGCGGAGAAACAAAGTCAACTTCGGGACCCACAAAACTGCAAGCTGATGAATCCTGCGCCTGCCTAGCCGCCGGTCTCCTTCCCTCGGCTTTTTTCTTCCACTGCAGCTACCATTACTCTCGTCTTTGCTCATTAACCTCCCCTCTCCCCCTCACGCCCCTAGCCCGCTATTCGTCTCCGAGCTGGGACCCTCCAGCCTGTTCCCGCTCGCAGAGCTGCTGGCCGCCTCTCCTGCCCAGGCAGCCGCTCCGGCCTCTCCTGCTCCTCTCGCCGCCGCCGCCATCTGGCCGCGGGGCTCCGAGATTCCAGGAATCTCCCGGTACAATCCTGGAGGTAAGGCGCCCAGGGGCGAACCCCGAGAGTCGCCAAGAAGCAGGCTCTGTTCCCGTGGCCGCCGCTGCCAACTCCGGTCCTGGCGCTCCGCTCCGGGCCAGGCCGGCTCGCAGGACTAGTGGCTGCACTGACAAGCGTTGGTTGCTACTTATTTTTTTATGCCAAAGAGTGAACTGTGGGGAAGGAGGGGGGAAACAAACGACTTAGGCAGTTAAGAAACTCGAGTGTTGGCTGCGGGTAAGCGCTCCCTTGACTGCGGCGACCTGCCTGCTGGAGGGTGAGCCCCTGCGCTAGGGACCAGGGCGACAGATGGGAGAGAGCGAGAGGAAGGGAAAGAAGGGTGGGAGCAGGGGAGGGGAGAGCACACAGAGAGACAGACAGCGAGAGAGACTTCGAGAGCATAATAATTGTGTGGCCGTCTCGTTACCTCTGCGCCGCGACATTGGCGTCCACCACGCCGACATTCCGCACCCAGGACCTGACCGAATCCATCTCGCCGCCCAGCGATTTCTCTTTAAGAGCTGGTCCTCTTCCTAAAGTATCTTGAATCCCAAACATTTAAAAAGTCTGATCCTCTGTCACTTTAAAAATAAGAATTAAAATAACACAGTCCTGAATGTTCCCGACGCCGCCAGCAAATGGGCTCCTCCAAAGCAATCCAAGAAAAGGGATCAAGTGCCGAAGTTTGAGTCTCTCTTGAAAAAAAGAAAAAAAAAAGAAAAGAAAAAGAAATAAAAATCCGTCCTTTGCGCGAGGTGAGGAGTGATGTAATCAAAGTTTGAGGGGTTACCCTCCGTAAGTTCAGATCTGGCGCCTCAGGCCCTCCGCCCTAGGTCGCTCGCATCCTTCCTGCTGCAT